TAGGAGTTGAAGTAAGAAGGCATGAATCTGGAATGCATCTCACTTAAGTTAAATACATACAAGACTTGCTGAAAAGGTTTAACTTCTAGCATCTAAATCCACGTGCGACACCAATGACAGTAGGGAAATACATATCCAGAAGTAAAGGAGAAGAGCTGGTAGATCCTACTTTGTATAGAAGCGCCATAGGTGGACTGCAACACTTAGCTCACACTCGACCTGATATATCCTTTGCTGTAAACAAAATGTGCCAATTCTTGCAAAGTCCTACTGATGTTCACTGGAAGGCAGTCAAAAGAATTTTTAGATATCTCAAAGGAACAAGTGAACCAGGCTTATGGATCCAAAGGAGTGATAGAACTGATCTTACTGGTTTTGCTGATGCTAATTGGGCTTCCTGCCCTGATGACAGAAGATCCATAGTCGAATATTGTGTCTACCTTGTTGATACCTTGGTGGCTTGGTCCTCAAAGAAGTAACAAGTTGTCTCCAGGTCTAGCACATAATCTGAGTACATGGCACTTGCACAAGCAGCCGCAGAAATAACTTGGATCGAATCTTTGCTTAAGGAAATTAAGTTGCATCCCTTCTCACCTTATATACTCTAGTACGATAATCTAAGTGCAAGTGCCTTAGCCTCAAACCCGATCTATCATGCACGAACAAAACATATTGAGTTAGATGTTCATTTTATTAGAGATAAAGTTCTTGAGGAAAAACTAAAAATCCAATGTGTTCCATCATCAGACCAGATAGCAGATTTGCTGACAAAGACTCTTGCACAAGCCAGATTTTTATTCCTTAAAGACAAGGTTGGAGTCAAGAGATGAACTCCAGCTTGAAGGAGGATGTTGAAGTTTACATTTTATTCACCAAACAAGGCATAAAGAATTAGTGGAAAATACTAGGTTCATGTGGTCCCATTTTGTCTCATTATAATCTGTTGAAACTGTATTGCATTGTGGTGAATATTTCCATCATTTAATCCGTTACTTTTACTTGCTCACCACTCTAAGATTGTCAATATCTTTGTATCATAGTCATTGTAAAACTTAATTCAATATAATTTAAGCTCTTGCTCTCAATTCTATCTGCTTTCTTACTTGTTCAAACTTTGAGAATTTCACTAATTCTAATTGGCCACACCTCTGAATCTACAATTTTGAGTTTTGAACTTTTTTGCATCATATTCAAGCCTAACTATTCAACAACTCGCAGACTTACAAAGTTGTTTGTAGCACTGTACAAATAGCGGAGCCCGCGCCTGGCGAGCTACGAGGCCACCTATTTTGACTCCGTCGAATTTTTTTCATATATTGGGTAGGGTGGTCATCTTGCGGTCATGCACTCGCCTAAATCCTATTATCAAAATACAGTAATAGAGAAAATAAAGGAAGGAGATGATGAATATAAAATCTGACAAAGGCTTGAACACGAAGAATATATCGTTGCCCTCAAACGATATTTGACTTTCTCTTATGGCTTTTAAATGATTTAAATAGCAAATAATTTGTAGAATTTATCGAGCCTTAATGAAGAAGACAAAAAACAAAGTAATTCTTCAAATGAACAAGTGAAAAACTAAGGCTTTGAATATGTGAAGAATCAAAATTTCTTCAAGTTTTGGATGAATTGTAGAATGGTTTTTTCTCATTCATGTTATTTTTTTGGGGATGATTACTATCATGTATATATAGTTTTTCAATCATCTCTACACGAACTGATTCCATCTCATCATGAAAAGTTGCATTGATTCACCAAAAGAACCACAAAAAATTCAGCTAACGGCTATTTTTTTCGCATGGCTATAACGTTGCCCACCACATTTGGCCCTGGAATGTCACATGCGAATGCAAGCTTCAAAGGCTTATGCGGTCCCATATGATAGGGACTTTACTACAAGATTCAGCATCACCTTCCAGCCTTAATGCATTTAGCTTCTCCCACTTAGGAAAGCTCTAGCTAGCACGATGCGGACCATTACAAATGAAGCAACCTGAATATCATCTATTTATTTTGGGATTGATCACAATCTTTAGATTTCAGACCATCATTCTCTTCTTCTTGTCTACCTGCTATCCATCTTTCAAAGTACCAACATTTTTCCCATTGTAACCGTTCATTTGAATAGCGAAAGCACTACCTAACTTGTAATCAACGAGACAATTTGTTTCTGTCACTACCGAATGAAGGTCTTTAATACTTGCCTTCATAATTCAGCATGTGCCCAACTTTGCAAACCAACATAAAGTTGAAGAGTTTATCTTCCTCAGACATAATTTTATATCCAACATCAAGCTACTAAATTCCTTCACATAATCTCAAATGATACCTAACTATTTTTGCAATGTTTCTGACAATAGAAATCATGGCCTAGCTGTTGTCTCATCATCTTGCAACCTAGTGCGCCACTCCAGCTTTGCATCATCCCTTAAGTACGATGGGTGTAATTTCTACACTTATCTGGACCATCAAAAGTGAATAGTTAGAAGTCAAATTGAATGGATTACTACTTAATTTGTTTAAATGTCGATTGTTGTAGAGTATATTCAAGTTTGGATAGGTTTCGATCAAAAAAAAGTAGAAATTGACCAAGTAAGAGTGAAAATGAATAATTTCGAAGTATAGGGACTAAATTGCAAATATTTAAAAGTTGATTTGGAACAAGGAATGTATATTGAAGATTGCTTAGACTCATTTGGAAGTTGAATGACCAAAATTACACAAAAAGAGGGCTTGAATTGAAGGAAGAGAAAAAAAGTAAGGACCAAAGTGAATTTGCTGAAAATTTGAGGTGATGATCAATGATCACAACGCTTCAATTGGCAAAACCCAAGATCTCTAGTATGGAAGACATGTGATTACATGGCATTTTTTGGCGTAACAGGAGCAATTTCCTTCTTGACTTCAACCTCCTTATGGAAACTAATTTCAACGGTGATTTTACTTAAATTCAACCCTTATAATTATGTAACACTATCAAAAATGAAAGAACGCCTCATATATCATATCATAAACATAATCTTGCAATTAAGGAAGGGCAATTAATCATTCTTTTGGGAGAATTTAAGAGGCAAAATACAAGAACTCAATCTTTTGAAGATCTAAGCTTGATCCTTGGACAAATAAGAGAAAGGTGCAACTAGAGATAAAGCAAGAAACTATTGAAAAGATTCAAGATTTTGCAATTCTTCCTCTTTTCTTCATATATCAAGAATTCCGATGATATTCTAAAACCAATTATGATTTCTTGTGACTTTGTAATGCTATGATAGATTTTTATACTAAGACATAGATGAACCTTTGTTATGAAAGTTTAATATAATTTCAATATTTTGACTCCAAATATCTATTTATTTTTGAATTATTGTTATAGGATTTAATGTTTTTCAATTACTTGATCAATAATTAGATTAATGTGTGAATTTTATTAAATTCAAGAGAAGTAAAAGACAGATAGAACGTTATAACGATTGTTATGGGTTCCAACAAAGTATAGAGATACACTCGTATGCCTTGCATGATTTCAATAGATGTTCAACGATTTCGATATTTGTTTTCATGTTTGCATCTTTCATAAAGATATAGGAACGTCACATGAGATGGTAAATTTAATTATATTCAAGAAAGATTATTAAATAATTTAGGAATATTGATCAATAAAAATAAATATATATTGTCATGATATTGATTTGCATTAAATTTGATTAATAAGGGGATTCAAAATCTTAATACGTATTCAACCTAATTTTACACAAGCTTTTGTAATTTGCTCCTTAAAATACTTAGTTCAAATAGTTAATTAGTATAAATTTTTCATACAAACACTGCTATTCGTTTAGATTTTTAATTGATCCTAGATTAAATGAATAGTTTTCATGGGAACAATACTCTATTCACCACTTTATTATTTATCTACTACACTATTCTCTCACGAAATTTCGTACGATCAAAATATATGCTTGCAATTTTCACTTGCTCTCCTGATGGGGTATGGACAACTTTAAAGTACAACTCTATATCCCACGAAAATGTTTCAATTTCCTTTACATTGCAAAAACTATCAAGCTGCTTAGGCTCAAAGGCACAAATTTTAGTTGGAACACAACAGTGAACGATCCTTTTCAATAATGAAAGTTCTACCTCAATTTCAATAAATCACGCCTTGGCGTCAACCAAGGCCTAATTCTCAACTCTATCAAGCTGAAACATGACTTCTTAAGTCAAAACCTACAATTCGTTCATCATATTATGGTATCTTTTGTCGATGTGAACAACGAACTCATCAAACAATACTCTTAATTATGTATGCACCTACCTTTTTGTAGGTTTGCACAACCAAGTTTACAGCATTATCGGTGGTCATTGGAGCACCCACGGAGTCCTCCAACATAGACACTTGATCTTTCAAGTTCTGATTTGTCACAACGGCCAACAACTGATGCTTTGATACAAAATTATCAACTAACCAACTTTTAAGTACTATTTTATTTTAGATTATATTTTAAATATTAATTATACAAATTTCATTTCCAAAACCCTAATCCTCTCTACTCCATCTCCATCTATGTCTCTCCTTCTCTTTCTCCACAATCGACCTTCGTCATCATCATCTCTGTCTCTGTCTCTGTCTCTCTTTCTCTCCACAATCGACCTTCGTCATCATCAACAATCTCTCGTCGACGATTGTGCTCCGCATCTGCTTCACGCGACAGCAATCATCGTCACTCTTCGCGGTATCTGCAACTGTGCCATTGTGTTCCGCATCTGCTGTGTGCGGCGACCCTATTTACATTTCCCCTATCTCCGTCTCTTTCTCATACACACACCTCCATCTCTTCAGATCTGTCTGATATCTCATTTCCCCCTTTCTAACTTAACACTCTTTTTGTTTCTTATGTCAATTTTCAATGGGAGATGTAGAAGTTCTTCATCCACAAAATTTGTTGAAAGATCGATTCGCTCACCACTGAGCTCGTCATAGTTCAATTCAATCCCCTATGAAATTCCAGAAAAAACCAAATATTTCTCCTAACCCTAACCCTAATTCTTATCTGGCGAAATCGAGTCGATGGAAGATAATCCAACAGAATACTTTCAACAATCAGTATTCTTCTACCCTACCACCAAACAACCGCACCCCGGTAATGGGGCAGGTTAAGATTTTGAAGCGTGGAGAAGTGTTGGACAAAGATATGGATGAGGGGAACAAGAAAGTGGCGGCAATTGACGATTTGATTATTCTTTCGTTGATGGATCGGCTGTGTCCGGAGCCGGATATAATTCCAAACCAGATCCAGGTCCTGAAGTTCTATGCAGGTTCGGCTTTCATTTCATCGTCTCCACCAAGTTGTCTTCTGAAACCAGTGTTTTTTTAAGAAGAAAACAGTTGACAGCAACATTGATGATGCCACCAGTGAATTCTGTCAGCAATGGCACCGAAATTTCTCACCTTAATTAGCCAGAAAACATAATGTACAAAATCGAGCAAAACCTGCAAGATAATTGTGTTGGTAGGTGTTGTGTTATTATTGTTGGCGGCGGCGGGATAGGATGAAGAGTGCTTTTGACCAACTATTTGGTCGATTTGTTATTTGGTGGTGATTCATGACCAAGATTGGTGGTGGATCGAGATCGGTGGTAGGGTGTGGTGTAGGTGACCAACTATTTGGACTAACTGTGACCTTAAAATTCTGATTTGTACGATTTGTGTGGTGGTACTGGAGATCGATGATGTGAGATGGGTGGTGTGGTTTGTGTTTTAGTGGTGCTTGTTGTGGTGATTGTTTAGTGGTGGTGGTGCAATGATAGGTAGTTGTTGGTGGCGATGGGCAGTGACGGTGGTGGTGCGTTTTTGTTATTGGTGGCGATGGACATTGACGGTGGCTAGGAGGTGGTGGTTCCTCTTTGTTGGTGGTGGAGGTGGTTGTTGGTGGTGGCGGTTACGGTTGCGGTGGTGCATTTCGGTTGGTAGTGGAGGTGGTGGTTTCCCGTGGTGTTGGTGGTCGTGGCGATAGTGCAGAGGTGGTGGTGGTGAAACTGGTCATTTTGGTTTTCTGTAACTAAAAATATAATTTGTGACCTTAAAATTCGATAACCTGTGACTAAAAATATAATCCGTGACCAATTATTTCGTTATCTGTGACCTAAAAATTGTATAATTTGTGACCGTGAAAAAATTTGTGGCTAAATAATTTGGAAATCTGTGTTCGTGTGACCCTCTGTGAGTAAAAATATAATCTGTGACCAACTCGGTAATCTGTGACTAAAAATATAATCTGCGATCAACCATTTTGTTATCTGTGACCTAAATATTATATAATCTATGACCGTGAAAAAATCTATGACCAACTAATTTGGAAGTTTGTGACCGTGTGACCTATAAAAATGTTGTGACCAAGAATCGGTATTAACGGGTCACATGTGTTTGTAGAGTAACGATTCAAAAATACAAGTCACATTTACCTGAATAGTCACCGAAACGATCATTGGCATAGTCGCCAAAATCGGAGTAGTCGTCGGAACAGTCGCCAGAGCGATGGAGGTAATGGAAGTGGGGTGGGTTATATATATAGTGTATGAATACGTCAAATATCCGATTTTAAAAATTTGAAAGTTGTTTTCTTATTTTTGAAATAACATATAGTAAAAATAGAAGAAATGAATTTTTCCCTTTATTTTATTCATATACTTAACGACCTCAGCTGTTATTGACCCACATCAAGCACATGGTCTGACCCAACTTGAATGGGACACTGGCTAGTTTTGGGCTGAACTTTTATTGGATGGGCCAAATGATAGGTAAAATTCATGTCAACAAATCCCTTGAGAGAAAATTACCTCAATCCAACTTTACATCTCCACTAATCTCAAGCACATATCAGGTCTCACTATAAATATGGAAATGTGGGTGCTTCCAGATTCAAGTGCCGTTTGACATCACAAATCACAGAAATTTTTTCTCTCTCTCTCTGTCTCCCCCCAAAATTTTCACTTTCGTCTTCCCGCCATGAGCTTCCCTCTCTCTGCCCAAAATTGTTAAATCACACTTTAAAAGTTTGAACACTTCTTTCTCTTTCTGTATTCCAACCAGTGAGCGTCTCTCTCTAAACAGATACAAGGTGCGGATATAAAAACATATACATCATACCTGCATTATTCGTGTGTTTATGCCTTTAATTTATGTACCCAGAATTTTTTGTGATGAAATCCATACATTGTTTATATGGGTCTGCTGTTTGAATTGAGGTTTAAGCAATTATTGCTTCCAGGTTATGTGTTTGTTTAGTTTCTATTTAACATATCCAATTATTTTTCGATCCAATTTCTGATTTATGTGCTGTCTTTCAACATTTCAGAATTCTAGGGGTTTAAGATAATAATTCATAATTTTAACTCATTTTTAAGAAATTGGGTTGACTTTTTCCTCTCTGGGAAAGTGAAATATGGAAATATTGATTTTTTATTGAAAATTTCTGTAGCCATCAAAGATAAGGAAAAAAAAACTGAACTTTCTCTTAGAAATATAACGTGCTTTGTGTTGCACATTTTTCATATTTATTTGTTTTTGCTTAAACATAACTGTTAATCTTTGTCGTATGGTTAGGCTGTTTTATTGAGTATAATGGCCTTGCCTTCTGGTTGAGATTTATATATAAATCTGCTCTGTATTCTTGTTTATATATTGGGGTTTTTTTATAAAAACCCTCTACATGTGAATGTTAATGAGTTTCAACTCTTCTGAGGATTAGAACTTTCTTTTTCATGTTTTCTAAAATTGTTAGTGAAATAAAGCTGGAAAATGCAGTACATGAACGCAATCTCTTGGTGGCCTCTTATTAAAAAATATTATGATTTCTGGCTGTTCAACGTACACTATACATAAAAATAAACGTTATTTTATACTGATGATTGCAAAATAACCAGAATAATGATAAACATGCATGTTATTTCCAAAAATAAAATTTCCTCATCCTTTTATTGTATTTCATGTTGATTTGTGTAAGACAATTTACTAGAGAATAGTTAAGAATCACATAAGACATGTATTCAACATGATGAGATAGGAGTTGCTTAAGTATGCAAATTGTAACATACATAATCCCAAATCTTTGAAGTTAATAATTTTCACACATTAATTTATAACAAAGAAAACAAACCTCTGTCCATTGAATGCTTAGAAAAGGAGTAACTGCAATGCAATTATAGAAGAGACTTATTTCTCTACCTTATCGCTCTGTTCTATAATGATGGATTTTTACGTCTATTAAATTGGTCAAGATTTTATAGAACTTGAGAATGTATTTCTGTCAGATATATCATACCTTCATTCAACATAGTAACATACATTCATTCAACATAGTAAGAGTTCATTTAGGATGTATTCGCTAATTACAAATATAAGTAAAATTTCATTAACTGCATTAGAACATTTTGTTTACAACTGTCTCTAATCTCATTTGGCTCATGTAATATTCCTCATTATAGTTTAATGAACAAAATTTAATGCACTTATTTTGTGTTAACGAGTCTTTTCTTAATTAGTCACAATTTTTATCGTGGTCAAACTAAAAGCTTAAGGTGTCGTACAGTATTAGTTCAACATATTGTTCCTTCGGTGTATCACTCTATTAGTTCTTAACTTCACATTATATATAAACAAAGAGCATTCATATGGTCTAATTGTAATATCTTTTAGACCATTCTTGTTATCATTCATTCATGTATACTGTGAACAAAAGAGGAAACATTCGAAATACAAAGGTGAGCTCAATGTCTCGATTAATTATGTGATATATTACAATTAATTCAGGACGCATTCTTTGATTATATTCTTTAAAGGTCTTTGATCTAGCCCTTTTTTTAATAGATTTGCAATCAAAAGTTGAGTGCTTAAATGTTCAATTTGAATTTATTTATTTATTTATTTATTTTTATATGCGTTCGGATAGAAATAGAAGATGAGATAGTAGAACAAGTACAAGAAATTTACTTGGACGCGGTTTTTTCCTTACCTTACATGTGATTTTGGTCCCATTAATTTGAGTACCCAAACGTCTTAAAATTGGATAAGGTATCCTGTTGATGCATACTTAATGACCAATAAATCTTCTCGTCCGTGGAATGATAATAACGGTAAATTTCTATATTTGGTTGTTCTTTCACAGAATATGTGACCAAACAAATAGCAAGAAAAGAATAAAATTGACTAGACAAAACCATAAGATTATTAAGGGGAGAACAAAACTTAAATTTTAAAAAATCTGTAATTGATTAGACACAAACCATGTGTTGAAATCCCGAATAATTGGAACCATGATTTTTAGAGATTCCACTTTTCATAAGAAGAATATATTAATTGATTTTAGAAATTATAGGATATTTTGAAGATTTGCATTTTCCTTTCTAGTCCTTATTACTTGTACAATAAATAGGTGCCTTAAATGTAAGAAATAAAAAAATAATTTCTTCAATTAAATCTACATGGTATTAGAGCCAATAAAATGTAGAATGACAGAAGTTGCCGCCAACAGAGGCTCGATAACCTCTGAATCCTTCAACGACGAAATGGAGGCCACCTCTGCCGTAAGTTTAAGGGGAATTGAAAACTCGTCATTTCAACTCACAACAAAAAAATTAGATGGAAAAAACTAAAGAGAATGGGCACAATCCATCAAGCTAATAATTGATAGAAAAGGAAAGCTTGAGTATCTAACCGAAGAGATGAAGATGTCTGCCGACATTGCTTTTCTTCAACGATGGAGATTAGAAAATTCAATGGTGATCGCTTTACATGTCAACTTGATGAAGTCCTCAATAGGCGGAGCTTAATTGCCTCATCGGTGACTCCATTCATCTTAACAGTATTACATATTTCTAGAAAAGATTCCAAATAAGCATTTGGATCTTTTGTTGTAGCTCTCCCAAACTAATTTTGCTCTACCATGTGTATTAGTTTTGGCTTCGGTTCGAAGTTGTTTGCGGCTATAGCAAGGCGTGCAATGTCGGAATAGTTATCATTAACAATGGGCGACATAGTCCCGAATAGCTTTTTGTTGATTATTTCCATTAGTTGCTCTTGCTTTATGTTCAGCCATTGTTTCACGTTCGTCTCTTTAAATATCTCTTAGATAGCGAAATGTGCGTTCTGGTTCAGGATCAACAGGCAATAGGTTGATGTTTCACACCCTTCACATAAACAGCTGAAATTAAAATTACAGATGCTATTAAAAAATAGAAATGAAATGAATGAAACTTAAAATCAAAATTCTAAATTAAAATAGAAACTAAATGGTAATAATATCAATAGAATTCAAATAGATCAATT